AAAGCACGTAATGACGAACCACGAGAGGTAGGGGCAAACAACTCCCCATAATCAATCCCCTCGTGTTGCTCGAAACCCTTGGCAACTAAACGCGCCTTAAAGCGTTCCACGCTGCCGTCATCGCTGTACTTAACCTTATATACCCAACGACACGGCAACAAACGAGTACCAGGAGGTGGCTTCTTCAGCTCCCAAGTACTATTAGCCATCTGGGCGGCGATCTCCTCGTCCATCGCACGCCGCCAGTCGTCTGCATGTGGACTTGCAATGGCTTCCGCAAAAGAATTCGGTTCGGGAATATCAGTAGAGAAAGCAGCGTTAACGCGAGCAGTAACAGTGCGACCAGGTTCATTTCGCCACCATTCGCCAGGGCGTTTCCGTTCTCTAACTGGATATCGTGTCCCTGCCATTTCCACATCAGGCTGATTAATTCCTTGCCCGTTCGCACTGCTGGAAGGTCCAGCCCCAGCCGGCGCCCCCTCGCCACCCAAATGTGGCGATCCCTCGCCGACGGTGCTACCTGGTGTCCCTTCGCCAGCCCTAGGCAGCGATCCCTCACCAGATAAACTAGTGCGAAAATCCTCCTCCTCGTCGGCATCGGACTCATAATCGGAGTCCCCGGCATTACGCCGCCGGCCGACGTTAGATTCATCAAAACGAACGTTGGAAACTACAGCAATAATGCCGTCCTCGTATAGTACACGATACTGTCCACCGTTCCCGTATCCGACAAGTATTCCACGCCTGCTCACCGGGTCGAACTTGTCGCGCTTGACGTCGGGTACGTGGACGTAGGCAACGCATCCAAAGACTCGCAGGTGACTGATGTTCGGACGAACGTTAAAGAAAGCTTCGTACGGAGTGACGGTTGACCCAGCAGTTGGCGACACATTCCTAAGATAGTTGGCTGTCGCTAACGCCTCCGCCCATAATGATTTAGGCAGTCCAGACTCAACGAGCATAGCCCTAGTCTTGTCCAAAAGAGTGCGATTTAAACGTTCCGCAGCTCCGTTCTGCTCAGGGGTGTAGCCTACCGTAGTTCCGTGTAGAATACCCCGGAA